ATATATCTGAGATATCACCAAACAGTTCATTATAAGTCCGTTTTCTTGTGAGGTCTGTATCCAAATTGTCATTGCATTCAGTAGCTCTGCTAGTGGATGGAGCATTTAGTTCATTGTTTTTACTAGGTATAGGAGTATTTAACTCTTTGTGTACATTAGATGTTGGAGTATTTAATTCTTTATATAGATTAGGTGTGAAAGTGTTTAATTCATCTTTTTCTTTAACTTTTTCTTGTGAGATTTCAACTTTTTTAGTCTCTAAATTTTTTTTCTTTTCAAGTTCTAAAAAAACATTATTTAACATTAGTTGTTAACTCCTACTTTGCAGTAATCAAACTTGTAATTATGTCTGGTTATAAATTGTATACCTTCAATTTCTTTTAAAACTTCGTATTCGTCCTCATGAACTAAATCAAATTCTTCGTCCGGATCAGGAAATTCGCAATCCATAATTAGAATTCTCTTTCTAAATATTTATGATTATAGATATTTTAATAATCACATATTACTGTTCTTCAAATTTCATTCCTGTCGTATATTTTTGTTGCACCTACTATATTTTCCCGCGAATTTTTTCGCGCCAATTTTAAGTCGTAGTACATAAGTAAATAAATAATTGCGTTCATAAAGTAAGTAAAATAAAACAATATTGGTATATAATTAAAATTATATCTTAGTTATTATTTAGCAGATTGTTCAAAATAATACAATTTTTTTATGAAGTACAAGGTATCGATTACTTCAAATATTATAATAGAAAGTTATTAAAATAGCTTTTATCTCAATTTAGGTCTTCTAACATTGTGTGTTCCCTGTTCTCATTAAGTATGCGGTCTGCATTGAAAATAAGGAGGAGCTGTTTCGCGGATTGTGCTTGGAATAGTAAAGACCATTTTTAGTATGCAGGGCAAATTCATCAATACGACGTAACATTGGAATTTTCTGCAAATTTTAACACATCTTTGCCAATTGTTATTATTTATATTTAAATAAACGATAAAAAAAATTCGCAATAATTATGTCTGTATGTATAAAAAATCAATGTGTAAAATATATTAATTCCTTCTTTTTAGAAAATTTTACCTAATACATAAATATGGAAAAATTTAATAAGAGCTCTTGTGGTTGTGTGAAAGGAAGAATTATTTTTATCACACTTTGAGTGCGTGATATAGTTTACGGTGTACACATGTAATCATCCTGAATATATTTTCAGAGCATGAAAGCACGCGTTAGTCAGTCCGCTGCGCTGTAGGAGCAACGTTGTGGGTTTCTTCTTTCGTTCAGAAATAATATCTACATTGCATTTACGGTTTTTCGAATGTGTTTATTATCATAAAAATTCTGTGAATTATTAAAATCTGCAATCCATGAAATTAGGTAACGTTTATGTTTTGTTACGTGCCATTGCATTTATAAACTACGTTTAAGGGTTAGTTGTCAATACTGTTATTTATTTTGAATGCATTTTACGGTGCACGAATAAGTGTTTATATAAGGAAGAATCGCATAATTTCGTTATGACAGGTTATGAACATCTAGTGAAATTTTCTTCGACGAAAGTTTTACTTGGTTTCATTGCATGGAATTATCAACCCCGTCGATTAAGATAGTCAGTCACTGTGAATCCGGTGCTGTAAAAGTTGCGATCAATAACCGTTTGTTTGGGTACCATACGCGATAATGAATTTCAGTTGAACTTGTAAACTGGGTCAAAATATCACGTGTTTCCAAGGAAACAAGAATTGAACTGATAATCAAATGTACAGTGCTAATTTTGTATTACTAATATAAAAAATTAATGTAGAGGAACGCTGGAAAATTCAGTCAGTTTAATGCTGAATTAGAAATTTATTGACTTTTAAACACATTTTATTTACTAATCATAAAGTGATATGCTTTCGACTTGTGAATCGAATTTTTGTCGACTAGTTGTTGTTTCACACCATCGTTGTATGTTTGCGTGTTATGCAATTTTGCAAGATATTAATTTCAATTGGATACTTCATTACAATTGAATTGTGACGGATACTGAAATCTAGGTGTGCTAAAGACGGTAGTTGCTGTAGTCTATTGTTTACAGTTCCTAGTCCTGTCACTAGCGTGACGTCGGTCTAAATGAAAATAGGTAAATTCACCTTTGACGACCTAGTCACTTCTTTGATAACTGCAAATATAGTTCTTTGCGCTGTTTACAAAATTATCTGTGATAAGATTTCAGAAATTTATTTTTGACGATATATATTTTTCCTTAAAATAACATTCTTAACTTATTTGTTCATATGGATTAATCGACAGGTTCGAATCGTTGCATACGGATCAGCAGACGGTGAGTTAAAAACTGTCAAATTCATAATGTACCGACAGCGAACGCGTTTAGTAATTTTTGACGAAAAGGTAGGTGTGCATTGTTCACAGGTGGAATGAATCATGCAGACTTCTGTATCGAAAAAAATTGGATGCATCGGAAAGTGTATTTCCGGGCTGAGCCTTGAACAATTAGATCAGCTTACGGATAATATTAATAATACTCTGATAGATTCACAGGGAAGGAAGATTTTTCAAAAATACTTAGAACGACGTGATCTTACGGACCACCTCGAGTGCTTGGAGCTGTATGAGACTTGTTACGAGATTATCAATGAAGCAACGGACGAATCGTAAGTAATCATTTTTATCCATTAATAGTAATAATAAATGAACAAGCAAAATGTTTTTACGAAACATTTCTATCGTTCGGCTCTCAAGGGAGCCACTTTTTAAGCGGCAGTCATTTTAATGTAACTCGGTCGGTAAAACAGTTCCAGTCAGATAAACGAGAAATTTGATTTTCAGGTCACGAAGGGAATATCCATTGGAGACGCTTATCGAAAATGTCAAAAGGGTGAAAAGAATGGTCGAAGCTTTGGACGGCGTGTCACTACTAGATATGGCACTACTAGCACGTTACAACGAAGTTTTAAGGGAGCGTTGCAGGAATGAGTTACTTATTGTGCTCGTAGATACTAGAGATCGCTGTCGTGACCATTTGAGACGTGTTCACGATAATTTCAAAAAGTATGCGTCGGAACCGTGTCCTATGACTAAAAATTAATTGACGAATATATTTTTTTATACGAAAATCTTCATGCCCGTGCACGTTTACCATTGCAAGTACTTACTTACATCAACTGTATAGATGTAAAATTATCCTTTGTACCTTCGTTGATTTGTAAAGTCTATACATTGAATTTTATAAAATTAATGTGTTAAACACGTTTCACGTATCAAACAAGTCTGTGATGTTGAATTGTATATATTTTACAGTACACTTATATCCATTGAATTTACTACTGGACATGTTTAAATTGTATACATACTTTAATAAAGAAATGTCACACAAATGCGAACTCTATGATTTCACTTTCTGATAATCGAAATTTCATCTCGAATTTAACACGCGTAGCGATATTCAATTTTTGTTTTACCTCTACCGATATTCAATCGATTTTGTATGCGTAAGATGTTTCGGTTATGTATAAAAAATCCATGGAAGATTCGCCTGTACGAAAAGTCATTTCGATAGAAGAGTACGTTATGAAAATTAATAGTACTCGCGGTACGGTGACATCTTTGGAGGAAAGTCTCATGATCTCGCGAAACTTGGAGGCGGAACGATGGATGCGATACTCAAATTTGAAGATGAGAAATCAAATAATGATGGACGATCTGAAGAAGGCGAACAAACGCAATAAAAATATGCTCAGTATGAATAAAAATTTAAACCTCGAAGAAAAGTAGGGTTTATAGTTTAATTTTTGTAGATTTATTCCGACAGAGCGTTACAGACATTCGTTTCGGAAGCGAAATAGCGTTGCCGGAATCATTGAAGAGGGAAGTTCAAAGAACTTGGCATCAGAAGTAGCATTATTTATCATTTACCTGGCGAAATAAATGAACAATTAATTAAAACGAAAGTAACGTTACATTTTACATTAGGTACGATGCTTTGTTAACGAAGAATGAACAATTAAAAGGAGATCTTAGCGTCGCGAATTCTCTCCTCAAAGAAAAAACGCACGAGGTACTTTTTTTCTATTTTTATAGAATTCACGTGAATTTCTACAATTTTAAAAATTCATCGATTCTAGATTAATAATCTTCAACAAAAGTTATTGACACTCGGTGATAGTTTGTTCGAACGGAACCAAACCGTGGAAAATATTTGTAAAAAATATTTAGCCTTAAAGAAGCGAAAGGACGAACAAGAAATTCTGCTACGTGGCTCTATCGAAACGTTGCAACTCGAAATAAATAAAAAGTACACGCTATAGTATAGACAGAAAATTTTCTAATAGTAATTTATTCGTGTAATAATTCATTTTTGAGAGTCCTCTTCCAAGAGAACAAACGTGAAAAATTTCCTTCGATAAAAAACTAATTGATAATCGCGCGATTCTGAATTTTCTTCGTTTGGCGTAATCGAAGTAAAGAAAGTGTACGTGACAACGTTAGAGTGAAAAAGGATCCGTAAAACCATACAGTTGCAGAGTTCTAGCGTGTTAAGAAGAAGATCGCAGGTCGCGTTCACCAGCCTGTGCAATGTTTAAGGATATTTTAATTATGCAACGACAAAGTTAATAACCGGATAAGAGCGTGTCACGTTAAATCAAATTAGCGCCGATCGATGTAACAAGTGCTTCACTATAAAAACATCAACTCTCCTCCGGCCAGTCTTACTTGGTGCTGATCAGCACTGAGAGAACCCTAGGATCGTTTTAATCGTTATCAATCACCATGTAAGTCGATTTTTCACCTCGGTTAAACATTTACCCCAAGCTTCATCGATATTCTATACGTTAGCCTGTGTGTATATACCTCGTTCATTTTTATAGGTGTGATCAATTCGTACGATTAAAAACTTATAAAATTGTAATATAAAAACATGTCGAAGATACATCAAGCACTCCTCACGTTCTACACCTGTCTCTTCTCGCCGTTAATCATCCTCGTATTACTCTGTTCGTATCTCTATCGTCGCATCGTAGAGATTATATTGAGGATACAACTGAAGAACAAATTCGCTGGTCTCCTCGATGGAACGGACTGCGTTTGGGCTGTCGAAGAACAATCTGCACTTTCGGTGAACAACATCCTCTTGATCATTGAAAAAGACGCTCGTCACTCGAATATCAACTTTCTGGAGAGCTTTCGTGACCTAGCGAGAAATCGTATAATTAATTCATCTTACGATAAGTTGCTCTACAAGAGGAAAAGAAAATTTGGTTACTATTTCTGGGAGAGAAGCGAAGAGATCGATCTGAGAGAACGAGTCAGGTGGTTGGAATACGAGCGTTCGAACTGTGATGGTTCCTGCGATAATATTTACAACGGTCACTTGAAGAGAGTTCTTTGGAACGTTTGCAATCAACCGTTGCCGGAGGATCACACGGCTTCGTGGGAAATTTTGATCGGAAAATGTTGTCCCAGATCGAGTCATCATTATCTTCGACGAATGGAGGAGCGTTTGACGAGCAAAATCAAGATTCCCGTTCTGTTTCGCGTTCATCATTCTCTCGGCGACGGTATGGCTCTTCTGAAATTCTTCAGGGACGTGATCATCGACAAGGAGCCGGTTCCGGAAACGACGCTGGAGCTGGGCAACTCGAGGATCCAGATGAAGAGCGAGAAGATGAAGAAGCTGAATGTGACGGTATCTGTAACGAATTCTGCAAGTTTGATCGGTGACAATAGTTTGCAGTGCTCGTATCAAAAGGACGTTATATCTGCATGTATGCCGTTTATTCACTTCGTGATGTTCTCACATTTTCTGAAATTACTGAGGGGACAGTTCGACGACGTGTCGAACTTCTTGAGTAGTGTTACGTTTCAAGATGTGATATTGGAAACGAAAGAATTTATGAACAGAGAGAGAGAGAGATGGTACAGTTTCTATACGGAGGTTGTTCGTAAAAAGGTGTACAGCTGGTTGAAGATAACGAAGATCATCGTGGATCTTCCTGGTTGCTTGGTTCAGCAAGCTTTTCGTAGCATGGATAAAAGGTCTGTCCCGTTCGTTTCTCAATTTTTCATTTTTATAGAATTGTTAACGTGTTCTATCTTAGTGCACTCCATGGAGCGGAATTGTCCGGAGAGAAGCTGGTTTCTTACTGGCTTGAGGACGATTTCAAGAACCCCCGCGATCAGAAGCTGTTTGTGAAGATCCAGAATATTAAGAGTATCACAGGCGCAAGGTTTGGAGACGTTCTACTGGCTGCTTTATCAGTCAGCTTACACAAGTACTTTCTTCGTGTGAGCAGTCATAAATTTCCTAAGAATTTTGTGTTTTTCTTATTAATATTGCTCTTTTTTTTTTAATTCATTTATATTGAATAGATGGACGAACCTGTTCCGACAAAATTGAGCGTAATCTTGCCGATGAAAATCGAAGAATGGAGCGAGAATCATCCTCTGCAGAACAATATTTCTGTCGGCATACTACCGCTTTGCATTTCACAGATAAACGACAAACAACTCGCAGATCCAGCGGAAAATTGCCAAATTCTGGATCGCCTTGAGGACATTAAAAGAGCTAATGATGCTCTGAGAAAAAGTTCTGATTACGTTGTGAATTTTTTGGTGATGAAGTACCTTTCAGCTGTGTTGCCTGAGAAGCTTTTGCAGCCGATTTTCAAAAGTCACAGCACGATGGTGTTTAGTAATTTGGTTGGTCCTCTGGAAGTCAAGATTTTGGGTCTTTCCTTGAAAAATATCGTCTTCTGGATACCAAACAGGTAATTTCTTCTTTTCTGTTAGATATTAAAAAATTAAGTATTCTATTCAATCTGTTTTGGATCACTTTTTAGAAGTTACACAGGAATTGGATGCTCGTTGTTAACTTATCGAGGTTATTTGCATTTGTCTCTAATCGCCGACAAAGCTCTGGTGCAGAACGAAAAAGCTCTTACGAAGATACTGGAGAATACTGTGACTGAAATCGACAATCTCTACGATAGGCTAACTTTGTCATTTTTTTCGAAGAAGCTTCATAGGAGTATGTCAACACCCACGAAAAAAGGCAGGTCAATTAAAGAATTAGAAAATTTAATGAAAGAGATATTGACATAATTCTTTATACTTTCAGCAATCGGTGTGTTCTAAAAGTATGAAGAACATTTGGATTTTTAACTACGTTTTTTTGTTCATATGAAATCATCAGTATTTTTAATTCATTCGTTTTCTTTTTTTATTTGTCACTGTTAATTTCTTGTAAATAATTTTGTTTGTCTGTGAAGATCGAAGAGTTTTGTATGCTTTGGTGATTTGTATTTTAACTGTGTATAATTAAAAATATATTTTCTTAAATAGATACCTAAAGAGTTCTATTAAATATCTTCCGAAGTGTTCTGTAAATACTGTACGAAGAATGAAATATACCATCGATCGATAAGATTTTATAATTTTTGGAAGAAGTAGAGAGAAAAAAATAAACTCTCAATGTTTCGCTTTTAGAAATACGTATGGCCAGAAAACGATGTCAAAAAGTGTGTTAAAAAAGGAAAAATTCGATCGTCGACTATTCGATGCTTTCGGAGAAGCATTTGCTATCGTGCTAGTTCTGATACGTTGGCTCAAAGTATTTTTTCCTTTGATTCGACTTCTCTTTCTCTTTTTACCCTCTTCGCTGTTGCAATCAGATGAAACGTTCGCATCCTCCATACTCATGTTGATATATTTTCGATGCTTCGCTGACCTGTCGATACAATCTCATTTAATCACGACGATAATCGTTTCAAGATGAAGAATTTAACATAAATCTCATTCCAACCATTTTTTTCTATTCTCTTCCGGAGATGAACTCTTCAAATCACTGTCGTCTTCTTGTCGACTGCTCGAAGGAGGATCCTGATCTGTGCATGATTTGCACGGACAATTTAGCTTTAAGCTTCGTAGGATCGTTTGAACGCGTGGATCGTCGATACTGCTAATAATAGGAGATTCATCCGTTGACGTCATTCCGTGATCTTCTGCCTCTTCATCAGCCTCTAACGTCGAAGTCTCTTCTATGTTCCAAACTATTCTGAATAAAATGTAATGCTTCTAAGTAACTTAATTTTTTTTATTTTCAATTTGTATTTGCGTTAGTATCGTACTTTGTATCGTTTGGAAAATCCTTAAAGTGAACCACTTCTTGCTTGCAAGAATTCTGTTCTGCTTTATCGGGCGAGTCCCTTCTTGTCTCCTTCCCTGGGATCTCGACGCTTTAAATTAGTATTTAATTATGGTATATGTTTATTAATAGGAGATACTTTATTATTTTTTGTTAAATTATTTTTTACTAACTTTCGAAGAGGACAGGTTATCGTGGGGCATTTTAAGCAAGTGGAATCCTTTGTTTTAGTATTAGTTAACTTCGCATCCTGTCGAGCATGTAATAGGTTAGTATTCGATATTTTGATTTAATTCGATTTTAATGTTTTCTGAAATTATAGTACCAATTGAAATTCATGGGGTGTATGAACTGGAAAAACTGTGATCTTCGCGCGTGGAATTCTGCTACCTTTGACTATAAGTACTGGTGATTTCATTACGTCATTCTCGCTTTCGTTTTCTACTTTCCTGTCAGTTTGTTCATCATTAGCACCTTCGATAACTTCTTTCGGTTTGTCCTTGTACAGAATACTCTTGCCTTCCACGACTAAGTTTTGCTAAATATCATTTTTATATTTGAAATAAAAAAGACGAAATGCTAGATCGACAAAAGATGGAGGAAAAAATCACAAACCCTCAAGTAACTCGACAAATTATCGACATTAACGGTACCATTGCTGGTAACGTTCTCTTTATCATCTTTCTCCTCGTGAAAAATACCAGGAGAGGTGATCGTTTTGTTCACATGATTCATATTATTGCCGTTAGGAGATCGTGCTTTCGCGCATTTTTGCACCAACGATTTCGTCTTGAGTTCCTGTGATCTTTTCTGAAAATTCTTGCTCGACATAATTCGACATCTTACGCCAGTTTTTAGAGCTCTCTTTTTAAGCGGAACTCCACTAACCATCGCACTCCGACCGATCCTCTTGCGATCGAGTAAATTTGGTACATCTGGTTGGCTGATTGCGGCGTCATAATCGTAGGTTATGGGTGGTTTTGGCGCGCGATTTTTCACAGAGATACGTGGACTGCGATACCGTTTGGTAGTTGGCGTGTTGTGGGTCCCGTGTTGCGATCTTGTGCTCATCGTTCCTTCGACATGACTAAGATTCCATCTGAGGTGAATTACGATTTTTGAAAAATCAAAATTTTATGCTTTGACTTTGGTAGAAGTGCCAAAAAAGAGGGCAGTACTATAGCATTTAGGCCCACGCCTATTGGGTCGGTTATTACCACCACAAATGTCGCATTAAGAAAATATAAGTTAAATTAGGCAGCCAAAAAGATAAACGAATAAAACATACATTTAAATTCTCATAAGACAAAAGAAACGACCTTTTATCTTGGAATTGATCATAAGGTGAATTTCATTACTACGCTCTAATGGGAAAACCTACGCGGAAGCCAGCGATTCGATCGAAACAGATTCTAGTTTCTTCCTCGAGTTTTTGCGTGGCTTCAGTTTGTTCCAGAATCTTAAAATTGCCTTCGTAGATTTGCGTTCGATCTTCTTCAACGCCAAGCTCTGCTGACCAACGGAGTTCGCACGTTCCGCTAGTTTATCGCTCCATTTTGATTCGATTTTCCGCGGCTGCGACACAGGCGATGCGGGGAGACTGGATTGGCGATGGAAATGCGAATGGAACCGGAAGTGCGTTTTCCTGAGATTCGCCAGTATTCTGTGTGCTTGAGTTCACATTTTCCAGATATACATACCTAGAGGCGTTTTTCTGTCGTGTGATTTGACGCTTTTGGTTAAACAAAAGAGTTTCGCGTAATAGCAAGGCTGACTCGTTGGTCGCTTAATATTATACGAAAGAATTAAATACTTTTTTACTTCGAATATCTTTTTCCCATTTTAATTTATTTCCTTTCTTAATTGTATTAAACAAAGGTGTTTCCTTAAGGTTTCCTTATGTATGCGGTACAAATTATACGTTTTTATATATACATATACAGAATTTTATAAAAAGAACAATATTAACAACGCAGACTAATACTGTTTAGAATATGGATATTATCTTAACACCGGTCTATGTAAAAGAATACGGAAAACGAATCGTACAATCTTCTCGTACGCTAAAAACATTAATGCCGCCGTCAAAACGGTTTGCAATAGCTTGGCTTCCATTCCCTTGTATAGTCCCGCTGCTCCTTGTGTCCTGCAAGTAAAGATTTTTATAGGATTCAGTCCTATAATGACAGTTTACAAAAATACTGCACTTACTTTAATATATAAAATAGAATTTGTAAGGCACCAGCATTCGGTGGAAGATTCGCGTACTTATGGCCATGCTACAAGTAACGAAATGTTAGAATTATCTTATGCTAATAATGTTTACAGATATTCTAAGTAGCTAAGTCATTTACATGCAATTAAGTTACATACTCTCAGTTTGGTTTGAACCAACTGCAATGGATACGTTAGAGCAGTGGCTATCGTCTTGGCTGCGGCACCTATAGCAAAGAAAATCCATGCTGGCGGTTGTGAGCCATTCAGGGATGCGATAACTTTCCTTTTAATAGCCTCGTAAGTCATAAATTGGATAGCTGGATTTATAACCAGCATCAAACTTGGCAGAGTACCTGCCCAAAGTTTTCCCAGACCTTCGTATTTACCTATATGCACAAGGCCACCTGAAAAGTTGTAACTTCTAATATTTGCAGTGAATATGAACATAACATTTGCATAGAGTGCAGTGTACTATATGCGTGTGAAAAGTTGCGATTGTTAATTCATTAACTTCCTACCGTATAATGTATTGTACTCGTTGTTATTTCTTTCCTGAGAGTGACCGACGCCTCTCATCTTCAATCTAGTATTCACAACCCATAATGGTGTTGTTGTTAAGACATTAATTATGCCTAAAACAAATAAAATCAATTTGAAATAACTGAACTGAAGAAAATGACGATGTAGCGAACAAATCTGTATTCAAATTTCGCGCCACACCTGCGATCGATGCAACCAATAGATCATTTTTAGCTGTTTGATTTGGTTTTTTCCTAAGCGTCTTCAAACCGTGGAATGTGTAGAAGTAAACAAAGTTGCTGGCACACAGACTTTGAAGAACGGGTACTATTCCTCTGTACAAGGTGCATCTAAAATGCAAATGTTAATATAAGAACGACGAAATTAATATTTTAACGATTCCATATATTACGAAGTAAAAGGACGTACGGTCCTTCCTTTGCGATGAGGTCACGGATCGTTGCAAGAGTATTTTTCGATTCTCGGGTTTCCTCCACTGTGAATACAAAGTAGATCATTATTTTTAATGACAGATGATACAAAACTGATAAAAATTCATAAAAAATATAAGTATGTTTATGTATTTTGTGCTACGTAATGCATTTCACGCGCAACATGCTCTGCTGCTAGCGTGAAAGTTAATCTAATTTTTTATGTCACAAACACTTGTATGTATTCCAATTTATCGCTTTTATATTTATCTACTTAGTGTACTTACACTAATGGGTTGTGATCATTTTCTCAATAATAAATGCGATGATTTTTATAATATTAATTTAAAAGAAATTTAATAAAAATTTGATAAGAAATTAAAGTTTAAATCAATACGTTACTTGTGAAAAGAATTGTTAATTACATTTTTAGTTATATACAAAGGGAACATAAAACATTGTTTATTGTTCGTTTAACATACTTCACAGACGTATAATAAGTGAAGTACTTTAATGTACTCACGTTGTAATCGGCTTCGCACCGTATCTAAAGGAAAGAACGTTGCCATGGCAACGACGCTACCCTGTGAAGCAATGCCATTGTTAAGAATTAACATACTTATCATCAGTAGTTTAATTTTTTTTAAATATTCGCAAACTTACGGCAGCGCCGGATAGCGCGTGTACCAGTGTTTCATAATTGAAAATGCCTTTGCTGTCTGCTCCGTCACCCATTTTTTCAATTTATTATAATTTATCCGTCCTTACTTAATTCCATTGCGCGATAAGGTCAATATTTATCTTACAAATGCATGTTTAAACATGAATTTCGACACAAAACTGAAAAAATTTAGTGCCACGTAATTATTACTATGATACAGCAATTGTTGCGATAAGCAACTTTCGATGGGAGTTGTGCAAATGATATACATCAATTGAAAGTTTAATCGAGTTCATCGATCGACTGATATAATTCATTACTCTACGCATTCCCAAATATCGATACGAATAACAAATTTAGAATTGATTCTTGAAATCTCAAAAGATTGTCAACTAAATTGCAGAGGAAATACAGAAGTGTTTACTTTGCCTGTAACCAATGTTTGAACCATTTTACCAATTGTAACTCAATTACCACCGTCGATAAGTAGAACGTACACCGTGTAAACTAACCACAAAATCAACTGTCACCTGAGAACTGCTGAAGTGTCCTAACAGTTTTTCCAAGTGTAATGCAAGCACCTTGCGTGTTCGTAGAACTGTCTAACATCTACGAAAGACTTGTACAGAAATTACACCTGCGTTCGCC